GGTGTGGGGGACTCGCTTAGAGTTGAAGTTTTGGCACTCCTCCAGGGGCTCAGATGGGCCAAGCAATTGGGTTTTCAACAGTTGGAAGTGGAGGGGGATTCAAAATTGGTAGTAGGTTGGCTGCAATCAAATAGTTTGTGAATGTGGTCCCTTAGACAATAGGTCAGGGAATTATTGAGCCTCACAAGGGAGATGGGTGCAAAAGTGTATTGGTCTAGGAGGTCAGCAAATGCTTTAGTTGACAACCTAGCAAAACAAGGGGTGAATCGGGAGTTTTTGTTTTGCAGTGTTGTAAGATTTTTGTTCTTCAGGGGTCACCACTTGCTGCTATAGTAAAAGTCATGTTTTACCTTTTCCATCTTCTATTGTACATGCATCTACACCTTTTTATCTCATTCATAGTGATGTGTGGTCGTCTCCAGTTATTTCACGCTTGGGTTATAAGTACTTTATATTATTCATTGATGACTATACTCGTTACACATCGGTTTACTTTCTTCGAAAGAAATCAAAAGTCTTCTCCATGTTTAAGGACTTTCGTGCTATGGTAATGACCCAGTTTAAAAGCACCATAAATATTTTGAGGTCAGATTCAAGGGGAGAATATTATGATGGTGAGGATGGTGAGTTTCAAACCTATCTTAAACAACATGGCATTCAGTCCTAGAGATCTTGTCCTGGTACTCCTCAACAGAATGGAGTATCGGAGCACAAGAACTGTCATATTGCTAGTATGGTGAGGTCCTTGATACAAGACTCACATGCTCCCCTTACCTTCTAGGTGGAGGCAACCCGCACTGTTGTTCATCTCATCAATAGTCTTTCTACACCTATTCTTGAAAATTCTTCTCCCCATCAGTCCTTATTTCATCGTCCACCAGACCTATCCATTCTTCGTGTCTCCAGATGTGTTTGCCTTGTCCATCTCCCTTCCCATGAACACACAAAACTAACAGCTCAATCAATTATGTGTGCTTTCATGGAATACAATACAGAACACAAGGGGTTTCTCTGTTATGATCCCAAAGTCCGTCGGTTACGCATTTCTCGCAATGTCATATTTCTTGAGAATCTCTCATTCTTTGAACATATTTGTAAATTACCTGCACCATCCATTTCTGTTCCACATGGCTATGGATCTACAGGTGCTTCTCCTTCTCTTCATCCTCTTCAGACGTACTTCAGGAAGCATCAAGTTCACCCATTGCCTATGCCGCCTCCATCTCAAGCAACAGTGTCTGGTCATTCCTCTCCATCCACCATTACTATAAGTGCTGATTCTCCTCCTGAGGATTCGCCTTCATCTATTCCTTTGCGTCGGTCATCTCGTATTTCTCGCCCACCTGATCGCTATGGCTTCTTTTCGAGTCATAGCTCCTTCTTAGTTGTTTTGTCATCCACAGATATTCCTAAGTCTTATAGCCAAGCCATAGCAGTTGAGCATTGGAAAGAAGCTATGGATTTAGAGGTCCAGGCTTTATTGGAAAATGACACATGGGATATTGTCTCTCCTCCTCCAGATGCCTCCATAATTGGTAGCCAGTGGATTTACACCGTAAAACTCAAATCTGATGGTACTCTGGACAGATATAAGGCCTGTTTGGTTGCTCAAGGCTACAAGCAAGAGTATGGAATTGACTATGATGAAACTTTTGCACTTGTGGTCAAACTGACAACAGTTCGTTTGCTACTAGCCATTATTGCCCTCAAACAGTGGACAGTTCATCAGATGGACGTCAAGAATGCCTTCCTCCATAGAGAGTTACAGGAGATAGTTTATATGAAACCACCTCCTGACTACTGTGACAATCCTCAATTGGTGTGTAAACTGAAGAAATCTTTATATGGCCTTAAACAAGATCCATGAGCTTGGTTTGATCGCTTCCGTACAGTTGTGTTGGAAGCTGGTTTTCAGCATAGTGCTTCAGACTACTCTCTCTTCACTCTCAAGCGGGCTTAGGGATTGACTCTTCTTTTGGTCTATGTTGATGACATCCTTATTACTGGAGATGATGTGGATAGTATTACCAATCTCAAACTTCCTTTTAGTAACTCCTTCAAAATGAAAGATCTTGGGCTAGTAACATACTTTCTTGGACTCAAAATTCAAAGATGTCATCGGGGGGTTACTTTGTCATCCAACAGAAATATGCTTCTAATTTGGTGTCTCTTGCTTGCTTGACTGACTCTAAACATGATACACTTCTGGAGCTTAATTGTAAGTTGAGTAAAGATGAGGGTGATCTTCTTCCTGATGCTACCCTGTATAGACAACTTGTAGGTAGTCTTATCTACCTAACCATTACTAGACCTGACATCTCATATGCGGTTCAGATTGTGAGCCAGTTTGTTTCAGCTCCACGTCAGCCTCACTATTCTGCAGTTCTCCAAATTATTCTTTATGTACGGAGTACACTATCATATGGCTTATTTTTCTCATCCTCTTCATCCACACAGCTCTGAGTTTATGCAGATGTTGACTGGGCTGGTTGTCCTGACACTCGTCGCTCTACTACTGGCTGGAGTATATTCCTTGGTGATTCTCGGATTTCTTGAAAATGCAAGAAACAACAAACGGTTTTCAAGTCATCTACTGAAGCCGAGTACAAATTCATGACTTCAGTATGCAGTGAAATAATCTGGCTTAAGGCACTCCTTCATGACATGAATATTGATCACTCATCTGCTATTCCTCTGTTTGTGGACAACATGAGTGCAATCAAGATTGCAACCAATCCTATATTTCATGAGCGGACAAAACATATTGAGGTGGATCGTCACTTCATTCTTGACCTTCTCCATGCGGGTCACATCTCTCTCCCACATGTTTCATCGGGTCTACAGCTTGCGGATCTCTTCACCAAAGCCATGACCAAAGCTCGACATAATTTCCTTGTTGACAAACTGATGCTTCTACCCCAGCATCAGTTTGAGGGGGAGTGTAGAAGAACTACCGAAGGGTAGTTTCGTAATTCTACTGTATTGTACTTTATTTTTTCTTTCTTGTACTATAATAGGTGTGTACTTTAGTGTACAGCTCCTTTTTTATTCTCTTTGTAAGGACAATCTTGTCCATTTACATAAGAGTAATATAAATATATCTTTTCTGGGTTGGTTTGATCAGATTGATCAACCCTAGCCGATCTGGACTTCTGTCTTTCCCATTGCTCTCTCACTCTTTCTCGAGATGACATGTGGTCCCACTGGTTTATTATTTTTTTATGTTATTTTGCTGTTATCTCTTTATTTTTCTGATGTTATTGGCGGCAGGGGTATTCCTATCACTGTAACCTTTTTTTTTGTTTAATATAAATAGCAACTTTTGGGGCAGCAGAACAGATTAGATTTGTGCACCCCTTTTCTCATTCTTTCTTCTTCTCTCTTCTTCTCTCTTGTTTCTCTGTTTTTTCTTGCTGTTTTCTTATGGATAGAAGTTGGATTATCTGTGGTTATTGTCAACTAAAGCAAATAATTTTTTATAGAGACTATCAAGTATCAAAATTACATATTACCCTTTCTATACTTTACAAGAACAAAAACCTCATAACTATGAAAGAAGAAAAGGAATGCAAACCAATATCAAGTCTCCAAACACAAAATTAAACCAAAAGGAAAAACGTAGCAAAGAAATTTAGAGAGGAAAAATATTTCTTCAGGTTTCTCTTCATTGTCAAAATCAACAGCTTTGGAATCAAGTGTCATGGCTTCAAAGTCAAGTCAACAGAATGCCTGATCCAGAAACTCTTTTGGAATGGTTTTATAAATTTGAGAGTTCAGAGTGACTGAACTGACAATCCTTATTGGCAACTAAAACCCTGAAAAGCTCCTCAATCTTTGATTGTAAACCCTTGAAAACTTACTCATTAAAGAGGAGGTTACTGCCACTACTGTTGGCTGAACTTTTGAGAAGCACAAAACATGGTTCAAATTGCAGAAAAGGAGTTAGGTTTTTAGATTTTTTTTCCAAATATGTTCATTGATTAACCTGTGATCTGCTGTCCTTGTTGAATGGTTCAAAGGGTTGCTAGGTTGTTGCATATTCAACACTTTTTTGTATTATAACAGTTTAGATGGCAAACAGAACTGGATTTGAGAGTTGTTCTCTGGATAGACCAGTTTGACCATCTAGGTCAACAATGGGTTAAAATTAGAAATGAACACATTAATAACAAGGCGATTCCTAAGATGCTGGAAGGGTGTGATACCAGAAGAAATTTTTACAAATTAGAATCCTCAATGAATTTTGATATATACCAGCCAACTGGTTACCACTTTTGTGATACCAGTTGATTGGTCTCAGTTCTTTTTTTTGATATCATACTTTTCTGGCATCATAGTTGGACTCTTAAACAATTTAGCAGTTGCCCCAGTAGGTGATAAAATAAGGAAAACTATACAGACGATTTTCATGTCTTCATGGAAGATATGATAATTTTACAATCTTCATGCATTTTTATGACCCTGTATTGTTTTCGTTATTGTAGTAATTTCTGAATTTTAGACAAATTGCTGGTAGGAGGGTAAAATACTAACTGGTTTTGATTGCATAGTAGCATACCATTAAAATTGATTTTGATTTGTAATATGATTATATGAAAAAACCATACAAATCAGCAACTGTCTTTTCAGTACTAGACAAATTCCAGCGCTAGCAAGATTCAATATGGGGTTTATTTATTATTGTTATTGGTGCATTGCAGTTCTACTCCATACAAGGAACAATGGACCACTCTATCAAAATTAAAAACACTTAAAAAGAATTGTTCAAACAAATATAATGAAAGCTCAATCCAAGTGTCACTGGACCTTAAGTCACAAAAAGATAAAACTTATATAAACAGTCAAACACCTCATAATCCTTTTTTTTTAAGCCCTTCCCCCATTTTTTTAATTACTCTTTAGTGTTTTAAAGGAGACAATCAATGCTCACACTAGTGTTACAATAGAGGATTATCTGTAGTGAACATTTAATTCAGGTAGTGACTTTTCTGATGGTACAGTAAATCAGCCCTTGGGAGAGGAATGTCGCTTGAAGAGAAAAGAAACCTAAGGCAGGAATTGAAGTCTCTAAAGATGGAGGATTTTTCTTCATTCATGGAGTCTTTGCCACCTGACTTCCTAGCAATATTACGAACAGAGTAAGGAGAAAAAAAGAATACAGAAATTTTTTTTATAGAGCATAAGGATGCCAAACTCGGGAAATAAGCAATGCCAATAAACTACGAGGGGCCATTTGATAACAGCCAAAGTGGCTGAACTGAAAACTTATTGCTTTGTCTTTTTGTGAATCAAATTTTTAGGAGGTTGTGGGCTCCTTGACAGTGAAGTTTGGTAAATTGCTATATGCTCGACTACTTTATTATTTAATTCTTTTATTCATTAAATAAATTGTGCAGTTTAGCAACTTCAGTAGTTACAAATGGCCCCGAAGTTTATTAAACAATTGTATACATTGCTCTACAGGCAAGGTGTACCCATGCCCAATTATGTTTTGCAGTGTGGTCTGGTCCTAACCTGTCTTTTGGGCAATGCATTCAAGAATGGCATATTATTAGTATCCTACAGAAAAGTTTTTGCCTTAAACTTTTTGTTTCTTTTCCAGTGGACTACTGAGGTCTATAATTAGCAAGTTGGGTGCTTCACAACAGGTCCGGCTGTTGACTTATGCTAAATATGCTGTATATGGTCTTTCTGCAAAGTTGAACCATGAATCTGGTAACTTCCAACAGCATCATGCTTACTATTATATTTGCATGTTGACTTCGAAAAATAATTATTTATTTGAATTACTTTTTTGAATATAAGTAATATATGTAATTTTATATGATCGCACCTTGTAAAATGTTGTTCACAAATTGACTTATTTTCCGGGATCAACGGCCTTAGAGATATTTGTGTGCTGAATCAAATTTGGCAGGATTCCTGCAAAGTTTTGAGTGATGATAAATTCTGACTAGATACATGTTACATCTGTCGTATTTCCAGATCTTACAGCCAAGTACATGATCTATAGGTTAAAAACAACCACAAGTTATGTTCAATTGAGGCTTCTGCTTGGTAATGCAGCATATGGTTATTGCTTGATAATGAGTAGCTTGCAATGAGAAGATCAGGTGGCAATGCTAACATTTGATATTTTTCTCATTTTTCAGGAGCACTGGAGCTAAATTCTTGGATGAAAGATTTTGGGTATTCGATAATAAGCAAGTTTAAACGGATGTTGGTTAACACATGGTTGTTTCTTAGTAGGAACCATTTGCCTTTGGCATGATGAAGTTTGAATGGGCTGTTTGGGTGGCCCTTCACGTCAAGTACTAAAACAGTATTTATAGATAGAAGGGACAATATTAAAATGAGATGGAATGACCAACTCTCAACTCTCAAGCCAAAATGGATTAATCGAAGGCAAAATATGCAATATTGCTACAAGCCTACAAGATGATTTATTTTGTTTTGAACTTTTGATCAATATGTCAACTTGGACTAAAGATGTAATTCACACATGAAATGATTTCGCCCCTTTTCACTCGAGGAAAATTCTAAAAATTGCATAGGCTTCTCTGAAGATTTTCTGTACCTGTGTACATAGAAAAATGATTGCATGACGGGACTGTTAAAATACACTTAGGGCTTTATACTAAGGCATAAATAAGCCTGCAACTTGGGACCCAACCCAATTTAAAGCATGGGCTGCGGTTGGTCTTGGGTAGAGGCGTACCCAAGTCCAGACTGTGATCGGTCCAACCTAATTTGAGCTCATCCGACCTCTCATGTGTACATTATTTACTTTATTATATGTGCATATATAATATGTTTTTACACAATTTAGTAATTTACCCAATTAAAAATTCGTGGACAAACACAAACAAATTTATGCTATGCGTATTATTTATATGTGCGTATATTTATTTTAACCATATACAAAGTATCAAGACAAGTTGGTCTGGCATCTTACTTCATCATGGCAGATACACAGCCTTTGGACTTGAAAACTCCTAAAAACCCGGTATCCGAGTTATTCAGCTTGTGATTTAATTTCTTGAAACCTAACGTGGAAGGAGAGCCCCCTTTGCTTGATCTCTCCACGAGCCAAGGTATTTATTTGGAGAGCAGTTCAACACTCTCCCCACCAAAGTCTGTGTTGCAAACCAGTTTGGTTCGGATCAATTTTGAATTTAATTACAAATGGATCAGGCTAGCATCAGAAACATTAATGGCAACTGGTTGGTTGGAGGAGTGGTGGGATGTAGATAGACGATTGTAGAAGCCCATTTGCTCTTACAGGATCGGTCATACTGTGGTTCCTGTGCAGACGTAACAAGGTATTCCAATAACATAACTTTGATTCACACTCATAGCTCGTGCACATGCTTACGTCTCCTCTATTTTAAGTAGCGCTCAAAGCCTCAGATAGCCACAAGAATGTCCAATCCAAGCCATGAATCTCCCTTCATCCTAGAACGTCCCCAAGTCAACACTATTAAAATCAATGTCTGACGGATTTATATGCTTTACAGCCTTGAATTGTGAATATCTTCGTACTTCTATACTTTATTTTATATGGGGAATATTCTCAATGCAATGTTGCAATAGGCTGTCTGATGGCTTACCCTTATGTCTTTTCGAGGGTTGTATCGGTTCAGACACTAATTTAGAGAGTAGCCGGGCCTTAAACCAATTCCTCTAAACTGGTTATAAAAAAAAATAAATAACACCTAAAACAAAATACCGAACTACCGATAAGGTAGGACGTATTAGCCTATGTCGATACTTTGAACCTTAGGTTTGCCCTGACCAAAGTCGATCTCCATTAGGTGTCACCATGGTAACTATATTTTCTCAGTTTCCCTATTGCAATTCCGCATTCTGATGGAGGCAGAATCCTCGGCGTTACTCTATGGCCTTCAGTTTGCTGTTGAATTATCCCCCCTTCCCCAACATATTATCATAGAAGGTGGCTCTCTGCAAAACTTCTGTTGGTGGGTTCTATCGACCCACCAAGGTGTATCAGCACAATAATTGATGATTGCAGAAGTATTATGTCGTACCTTGTTTCTTCTACCCGAGGTTCAAAGTATCGATACACCCTTGTGTTTCGGCAAGGGCATATTGGTACTTAAAATGGCACGCTTTTATAATTTTTTTTTTAAGTTTGCATTAAACAGAGGTGGTTCTCAATATGGGGCATATTGTATTGAAATTTTGAACCTTGCTCCTACCTGGCGTACTGAAAATCCAGTAGTACGTAGTCTAGCAAAGAAAGCCATTCATCTTTCCGGCATTCTCACTTGGTCTGCATGTCTGAATTTCTTGAAGAACATTCTACAATCTGATATTGCATCCCCGAGATAATGAATTAAGTGCATTTGCACTTCAAGAAAAAGAAAAAAAAAATCTGGGTTAATATGCATTGGATTTTGCAGTTATGGGTTTATAACACGGGTGTAATTGACCAATTTTGATTCCACTCAATCCATATCCATGTTCTCATGTTTGTCACTTTTACTCTCATTTACTCTCTATTTAATTGGAATTCAAATAACATACCTATTTATGTTAATTCCAAGGTTGTAAGTATTTGATATGAATGGATATATCCGATATATATCAGATTTTAGAATGATAATGTGACACGATAAAAAAATAAGTATTTGAAAAATTCCCTAGTATCAATCATTATTGGTGTGTATCAGCATGTAAGATTCATCCACCGTTGGTCTCCATTTCGCGGCTTCGTCCTTTGCGGTTATAGTACTGACAGATGATATAAAGACAACCCTTTTCACTGATTTTTCTTTGGAGCATAACTTGAAGAGTTTTAAAGTCCCTCTCATTGATGGTTTGAATATATTTGATTGAACATAGCCATCTTCGTATAATAGTCACATGATGTGGCATGTTAATGAATTTTGATGGAATCCTAACGGTAGAGAAAAAAGTAGTCAATTATCAGAACACTTTAAAATAATATATAAACAGTAAAGGTAGAATTAGTCAATTAGTTAAACCATAAAGTTAGTTTAAGAAATCTTCACTTTCTACAGAAAATCTATGACATGGAAAAGATATAGTATGGAAAGAGTTTGGTGGAGTTTTAACCAATCAAAACACATCCATGAATTTTGATAAATAATGTCTAATTGACTACCATATTTATGATTCCAGTTGATTGGTCAGAAGTTTTTCAAATATCACATCTTTTCCATTCTATTAAAATCATTTTTCGAAGAGGTTCAACTATGATATGAAAAAGATGTGATATTTGAAAAACTTTTGATCAATCAATGTGATAGCCTGTATTATTTATCAAAATTCATGGGTGGATTTTGATTGGTCAAAACTCTTTACATATCATATCTTTTTCACATGATACATTTTCCGGAGAGAGACCGAGAGAGAAACCATTTTCATCAGACTTGAAAAACCATTTCGAGTCTGGTTTCTACTACTGCTACGATGTCGGACAAATCCCCATATTGTCGATCGCCTATTCGCCTGTCCCGATTACCTGCATTCCTTGGCCGAGTAGTAGCACTCGAATACCACAACTGGGTTTGGCGCAATGCAAGTCATCAGAGCAGTTTGCAACCCCAGAATAATTAGAGCATTTCTGATCGTTATCGGAGAAGAGACCATTAGACTGGGGTTTGGCGCAATTGAGTTAGATGACGTCAGATTGGGGCTAGAGCCAACGAGCGAGCAAGCGAGCGGAGGCAGGGAGCGAACGAGGCAAAGAGTGAATGAGACAGGGGAGTGTGTACCAACACTGGTGGATGGTGGTGGACAACCGTCGCTGGTGGATAGTGGAACAGGGGAGAGCGAAAACAACAAGAGAGAGAGAGAGACTGAGCGTTGGGAGAACCCAGCATAAATTGTTTGAAGATAGCCATGGTTTCTATACCCTTTCTGCGATCTATGTGATCGATTCCATGGAAACCCAACTTCCTCGAATCGTGCCTCCACTCGCACTCCATGTTTCACCAACATCTGAACCAACTGCACTTGTCGGTCGATGGTTACGTTCTCGCCATACCCTCTCACTATAACCCTTCCTATAGATCCAACCTTTGCATTGTGACTCCCTCTAACCATGGGATTACAGTATTCATTCCTCGGCCACAGAAGGGGAAGAAACAAGGACAGAGCGGAAGTTGAACCTGAGGAACGAAATCAGGCCATATCGGTTTGAAATATGAGGTAGAGTTTGGTAGGGTTTTGTTTTCTGATAATCCATACAGGCATCTGAATCAAATTTGAAGAATAGTGAAGGATAAATTTAACATTTCATTATTTTTGCTTAACAACATAAGAGACCGATGAGACCTTCAAATGATGGGCGACGTTTTCTTTGCTTTGTAATATAATATGCTTATACGATCTTGGTCACCTTTCTTTATATTCAAGTCTTATTTGGCTAGTGGTTACCAATTTCTTTGACCCAAAATAACCAAACCCAGGAAGCAAAAACTACTTCTCAAGACTTCCGTAAACTTCTTCTGCTTGTCTGCCGGATGTTAGTGACTATGTATCTGTTGCAGTTCACTAATATATTTCTTTTATCCATTAAAAAAAAAAGTATAAAAGAAATTGTATTGATCTCAAAGGTGGCTATTCCCTAGTTCCCTAGCTCAGTACTCTTATAACAGCCTCAAGCTTCAAGCTAAACAAATTTGAATTGAGGTCATCTTGGTTGTGGAAACAGGATGCCAAACTCTCGTATTTGTTTGGCACAAAAGAATATGTTCTAGAATAGGCCAGCGAAGGTTGCAGAGGCGTCTCCAACGACAATGAGATTTGGGCTGTGTGTCACTGCTGTAAAGAGCTCGGGAAGGAGGAGAAGAGAAGATAGAGGGAGAGAGAAAATGAGAAAAGAAGGGGATTAATTATTTTTGATAAAATTATGGGGTCCAGATTGTCGATAGTAGCTTGGATTCTGTCAATTTCTAAGGCTCAGTTGAGAAAGAATACAAAAATACAAATACATACAAAATAATATAAAATACAAGGTTTTACACTACATATTTATATTTATACTCCTTCCAAACTGAATTGGATTTTAGGGACAGACGATGTGATGAGCAGCCATTAACTACACCACTTGCTTGCAATGGAACCGATGGTTTGACTGTAGAAAAGATGCACTTGAAACTACCAACGGCTTTGTTTATACATTTTCTTACCTCTAGACAATTGTACAATTATCCACCAAGTTATACCATCGGTTCATCTACCTACAAGATCCAATTAATAAATCTGCAAACTCAATATGATTATATTTAAAAATATATACATATATGTTCTTTGCTGTTTGCAAAACTAGAATATCAACAATACAGTTCTGTAACTAATCCTTTGTCAGCAGGATGAGCCGCTTTCATATCAAATGGTTCATTTTCTTTTCTTTGTTTTTTTTTTTTGATCTTCAGCTTCAATTGAGCATTTCCCCTCCAACTGGTGATCGAGTAAGTTAAATCCTCCTCACCCATATGAAACTTTAATACCTAGCCCTTGAAAGTGTTCTCTCCAGTTGGGTTGCTTCTTATTCAGTTCGGAAACATTACCAATTCTCAATTCCTTTAGTTGGGCACCGTCCAGGATCTCTGGCAGTGTGTTTAGCTTGGGGCAGAACAACATAGTCAACTTCTGGAGGCATGGCATAAGCTCTCCTCCCAACTTCAATCACTTCTTCTAAGTTGGGCATGCTACTGATGTATAGTAATTTCAACCTAGGGAAGAGCTTCCTGCTCCAACCCTCTCTCTCACCACTGCCATCATCAACTCCAAAAAATTCACAGCTCATATTTATCACATCTTCCATTCCACTAACATTCAGTTCCTCAAGAAAAGGTAGCTTCGCTATAGTAGAAGGAAGTTGTGTACATTTCATGCATCCTTGAAGCTCCAGAGATTGCAAATTGGAGGACAAAAGAAATTCAGGATCCTTCATCATCAACCAATTATTTGGAAACTTAGCACTTGGGTACCAACGTATTTCCAATCTCTCCAGATTTGGATGTGGATTGAGATTTTCAAGAACATCTTCCGTCCTCTTTTCTGTCAACCTATTCTCTCCATAGACACCATTAAAAAACAAGACTAGGCCACGGAGATGTGGTTTATTATGCAGTTCTGCCCTACTTGCCTCTTCCCCATCTGCAACATTCTTCAGGCCTTCAAATGTAAGTTCCCCTTGGAGGTATGTGAGGCCTTTTAGTTCATCAATTTTACAACCTCCTCCCTTAGCACCAGTATTAAGATCACCCACAACAAAATTACTTAATGTCCTCAAGGAGCTTAGTTTCCCAATTCCTTGAGGTAGGCAGCTTAGTTGATCAGTGCGGTCAATTTGAAGATGTCTCAGCTTCAACATTCTTCCGATTCCTTCAGGTAGTTTACAAAGATTCCAACAATGCTCAACTATCAACGTCTGCAAATTATATAGATTGGATATTGTCTCTGGCAATTCCCTCAATTCCGTCCAAGACGAATCAAGGTACCTCAAATGTATCAGTTTGTCTACTTCACGCAGTTGCAGCTCTGTAAGCCCACTTTTGCTTAAATCCAATGCCCGAAGACAAGTGAAATGTTTGAATATGTTCACAATTGATGTCGTCAAGCTGATATAATCATATTTCCCAGGATTCATTAAGACTTGGAATGTACGTAGGTTCTTCTTTGCCTTAAGAGTGGAAGTGGAAGGAAAAACTGAATCCATATTTCCACCATTTAAGATCAAAGTCAAATGGCGGGCCTTGCTTGAATTGAAGTCTTCTAGTTTAATACTAGTAGCAGAAACCACATAACAGTCATTCCTTGTGAGATACTGAGCCAAATCATGCAAGAGATCATGAATACTGTACATAGCTTTGTATTTCTCAGAGACATCTTGCAAGAAAGAGCGCATCACCAAGTTATTTAAGTATAACTCTCCTGTCATATCTGGATTACTTGTTCTTCTCCCCATGGAACTTTCATCTAGAAAACCCTGTGCCATCCATAGATTGATTAGTTTCTCTTTCTCTATTTTGTCATCCTTGGGAAAAATGGCACAATATAAGAAACATCGTTTCATATGCGAAGGCAAATCGTAATAGCTGAGCAACAGTGAGGGTAAGATCTCCTTTTCAACTTCTTGTAATTCCCATATTTCACTTTCCAATACATCTTGCCAATCTTGAATTGTTGGTTTCCTAAAGCGCAAGAGACCTCCTAAGGTTTTTGCTGAGAGAGGTACACCTTTACACTTATTTGCTATTTTCCAGCCAATTCTTTCCAAGTTCTCAGACTTCTCTCCTGGAAATGCTATGCTGCTCAACAATCTCCAACAGTCCTCGTCAGATAACTTTCCTAAATTGTAGGTGTCTGCTTTACCCATCATTTTTGCAACTTTCTCATTGCGTGTGGTGACCACAATTCGACTCTAGCACCATGATTAAGGGAAAAATGAAATGGCTCCCAATCCCTGGAGTCCTCAGTCCAAACATCATCCAACACAAGAAGAAAGTCTCTTCCTTCAATTGATTTGTTCAATTGATGGTGCAAATCTGGCCATGAAATATTGTTCTCTACTTGCTCATCCATTCCTGTAATGATCTCCTTGGCGATCCTTACCTTATCAAAAGGCTCAGATACACATACCCACACTCTCTTCTCGAAGTGGGTTTTCACCCTATCATCACTGAAGACCAGTTGAGCAAGAGTTGTCTTGCCTAGGCCCCCCATACCAACTATGGAGATGATGGGGACTTCTTCTGGTTGACTATTGTCACTCAACACCTTGCTTCGTATAATTTCTCTCTCCCTATCACGACCAAATATTTTCGATTCATCAATTTCATAGCTGGTTTCTAATCTTATTACTTCCTTCCATCTCCTTTCATCACTGTTTGTGTTACTTGCAAGGCCAAATGTATCTTTCTTAGTTGCAATCTCATTTAGTCTCTCTTTTATTGTTTCTATCCTATGACCAATGTCATGGCGCAAACCTATTTGCTTAAAACAGACGCAAGAGCAGAACAAGTTGAAGATACATACTGTTTTCTTGGCCCTCAAGTGACCGTCAACATCATCAAGCATTTGTATTTGTGATTTGAGGATTCCAGTGCTCCATTCATCCAACACATCGTCCATGTCATAGGCTACATCTTTCAGATCTTCTAGCCAAAGCTTTACCAAGTTGTCCATTACTTGCTTCTTCTCGGCATCTTTAAGCACGGCTTGGATGGTCGCCAGTGTACGAGAGAGGTTCTCAACCTCCTTCTCGACGCCCACTATCAGTCTTACTTCTTGCTCGATCTCTTGTTGGATAACAGAGGCTAATTTCTCCAAGAGAGTGGATACAAGAGCGTCAGCCATATTTGGTGATGATCAAGCCGCAGGGCAGAGGCCAAGAATGATGGGAGAAACAAAACTACGAAAGTGTTGGATGCAAGCATGCTCAAATCTTTCCATTGAGATAGACTTTACAACGTCCAAGAAATGAGGTCATTGGATTTGAAAGTCAATATACGCGTAAGTCATAACTAATTAATTTTAGGGAGAATAACTGTCAGCCCACACTCAGAATTCTTAATCAGCTGGGAGTATTTGACATTTTGAATTGTTATAGATGAATAGTGGAATTCAAAATTCTGTAGTGGAGTATAATACATTTTTTCATTATTTTTTTTGTTGATGTGGACCAGTCATCTAACCTTTCAAAGCTTCCCTAGAGAGAATGTAAAGGACAGACTTTCTCTCTGTGCTCTCAACTCTTCTTTCAGTGAGAAATGAGAATGTAAAGGATGACTAGTGCATAAATTAAGGATTAAAAAATGGTTTCGTAATAATCAAGCAATAGAAAAGCCTAATGGGCCATGAATTTCAAGACCTGCTCGGCTGCTGCTGTGTTTGAACGGCATGGCCTTTTGGCCCTTTTCATATAAAATTCATGCAACTCCCCCGTTCGCCAAGGGGCATTTACAACATGGATCGGGTTAAATCATGTTCATATACCCGTTTTTTGTTGGTTTGGGGTCTCTTAAAGATCCACGTTGCTAATGAATTAATCTGCTGGTTCCATCAAAACATGGATCTCATATGATTAATCTGCTGGACAGGATATGGATCATCCATGGGATCCAAAGCCTTTACTAACATTAGGTTCGGGTTGGAGTCACTTTGGTTCATGTTAAACCAGACTCATACCGGCCCATACGTTGACACCCAACACATGTATTTGATGTAATTTTAAACTGGTCTAAGAACCAGGTATCTTGAGACTATTTTGGCTGTCGATTCATTCCCTACCTATCTGGTGATGATCAGTTTGTTTGTTGTTTGCAGTACAAAATTCATTTCCATTGTATGGGAGTGGAGGTTTTTTTATTCACGAACCTGGAAAAGACTTGCATTAATAACTGGAAGCACCATCAAGACTTGCATATTGTATCAGGGCCTCGTTACCATTCTTGATCTTGATCGTCTCTCTTTTTTTTCAGCCCTCTATTTCTTCATGTTTTCTTCCTAGTAATGGCGACTGCAGATGCAAATTCGTCATCTTCATACTTTCTTCATCCATCAGATAACCCTGTTGTGATGCTTGTGTCTTGCCCATTCAATGGCGAAAATTTCATAACCTGGCAACGAGCAATGAGAAATTCTCCCAGAGCCTAAAAACAAATATTGTTTTGTTGATGGAACTTTGGTAGTCTCTTGGCTATTCAACTCTCTGGCCAAAGAACTCCATGGAAGCCTTGTATTTATAGATACCGTTGATGAAATATGGAGAGAATTGGAAGAGCGATTCTCTCAAGCAAATGTGCCGCAAATACACCAACTCAAGCGGGATTTGGCACTCCTCCAACCAAGAAAACCCGTCGATCAAAATTTATTTCACAAGATTCAAATAATATATATATCAAAATATATTTAAAATATTATGTGTAATTTATTTTTTTATTTATTTTAAGTAAATTTATTTTTTAAGAAAAATACTGTTATCTAAAAAAATAATAGGGATTCAGGTTCCCACGGGAAACTCATCCTTGTGGGGGATCGGGGATGGATGACAAATTTTATCACTAGTGGGGATCAGAGATGGAGATGAGAGTTAATTTTAGAATCAGGGTCGGGGATGGAGAATATGATCCCCACCCTGTTGTCATTCCTAGTGGTTGTAGCGGAATCCTACCTACATTTGGGTTAGAAGTGGGTTGTTCAAAATTTCAAAGATATGGTGAGAAGTGGGAATCTCCAATTCTCAATCCATTCCTAAAATACAATAAAAAATGCTACAACAGTTATCCATAACCCCACCAACACGTCTCTTTTGAGCTTAGATGAATTCGTCGACCACCGGTGATCAATTATGCGTGGCATCCGACGGTTGGGACCGTCATACCATCCGTGTTGATGGAGATGCTGGTGGTCGACTATCAAGCAAACATGGGGAAGGTTTTTTTTTATCTTATACTAAATAGCAGCCCACCGACACGTCTCTTTTGAGCATAGATGAGATCATCGACCATCGGGCAAATCAATTACGTTTGGCTGTTCGACCTCCTTGGGTGCCTAACCTTGGCACTCCTAAACCAATATTCCTTGCGGGGCGGCCCTGGTTAATGGCTAGCATGGCTACCAGGGTTCCTCATAGATGCATACATGCTCATGGGGAATAGTGCATGGATCGGCACTACGTTACCGACACTCAAGGGAGGCTTGGCATGCGAGCCTGGCTCAAGTATGACCATTCACCACGCCAGCCCCTTGCCTAAACTGAATGAGCTATCACGTTGCCCATAGTACACGGGTGTGTTCCGGCCCAGCGGTTGCCTATCAACATGGCACACAGGTGCCCATCATCATCGACATACAGGAGTCCCTTCACATTGGCGCCAAGTCGCCTCACATCATGGCCTTCCCCCTTTAGCACGTAAGCGACATCTCCCATGGACCAGCTAAAGTCAGCCGAGTGCCCCGGCCATGCGACTTGAGATCATGATCCAATGTTACTAACTTTGGTGGAGCCATCTCATCAAGCAACTCCTAACCTCGCATCACACAAAAGCTTATCCCAACTTGTCTTGACCTGGACGCCGCACGAGCTTCTTCCTCCGGTGTAGAACTACCCCGTGACAGGTGGCCAAGACCGTTATACTATCGAAGTGGATGAAGCTTCCGGTGGTCTAAGTTTCAGGCAAATAGGGGATTTATTTTTCTTTACACGCAACCACCAACTATTTAAATAATCTCTAATGACATAAACAATCGCCGGAGATCATTTATGTTAGTCCGTCAGTGACCAAGGTCATACAAGGTTGTTTATGGCACCAGTGGTCGAGTGTCGCACTTAGCGGTGGTTGAGTGGTGGTCGAGTTTCGCAATGACAATTGTCTAAGAAGACAACAGTGCAACTTTGAATAGTGGGCCCCATATTATCGTAAGTTAACAAAATTACAATTTGTACCTTCTCAAAGATAAATGTAATTAAACCTTAATTAAATAATCAATTTTTATAAACTGTAATTAATAATCATAATAATATCATTAATGTTTATTCAAAGTGGGCCCATAATAATTACTGAATACACTAATTAAACCTTAAATAAGAATGAATATTTATTAATAGTAATTAAAAATGTTAAGCCAAATCATCAATGTTTATTTATAAATGCAAAATATGAATTAACAAATCTACTATATAATAATTATACTCATTGGAAAAAATATTTTAAGTAAATATTTAAATAATTACACATTTAGTTAATACTATTACTATATAAAATTTAAATTAAATATTAAAATAAATTAATAATAGTAATAATAAGAATAATAAGAATGGTTAAATTAAAGTAATAAACGGTTCAAGTTGAATTTAATGACCATATAGTTTTATGGGTTGGACATATAATGGTGTATTTGGTTTACGAGAAACGGATGGGATGGGAAAATTTTGTCAAAAGCCCTCTCACAAACATTGTCGCCTCCCTTTTTTATACCATTTTTCTCCTGTTCCATTTGATGGGTGGCTGTTGAAATCTCACCGCTGGCTCCATCCATCCTTGGTCATCTAAATCTCACTGTCGGCATTCTCGGCGAAGGTAGGCTTAGATCTAGCATGATTGAACCATATCTAGCTTCTAACTGGATAGTCATTTGAGTTTATTCGCACGATCTCCAGATCTGGATTCTGGAATATGGTTGTTCTAGATCTGAGATTTTGTGTTGTTCTTTGTTGTTTTTTTCCTTTAGGTAATCACAAACAACAAAGCATTAGATTTCAACTTCAGGTAATAGGTCATATCAAATCTAATATTTCTTTCACTACCCTGTTTTTTTTTAGATTTTTTTCTTTGAACTTGGTAACTTAATCAGTTTATATTATGTTGATCTCGGAATCTTCATGCTGAAATCAAACATATATGAGTTTATTATGGATTGTATGGATTGACTATTCTTGTTCTAATTTCTTATGGGGATTGATTATTTTCTAGAGGATTTACCACTTATGTTTACCACTTATGGGGATTGATTATGGATTGACTATTCTTTCTTTAGTGCTGCTGTTAATAGTTGTGGGTATTGGTTCAAGCCTAATACAAGTTATTTTCAAGCATTCATCTTGCTTGAATGCTGTATGTTTATAAAAGGAATCGTAGGTTCAAGTCTAATTCAAGTTGGGTTTCAAGATCCTAATGTGGCTGGATCTAATTCAATTACAGCCCTACCCTTTGGTTAATTAAGTGCACCTAGCATTTCTTTGAAATAAACACATCATCTTTCTGTTTAAGCCAAATCATTTGAAATAAATAAATCATTTCCTAGTTCATGCATCCTATATCAATAAATAGTTGTTTATCTTTCTTCCCCTTTATTATATCATCCATTTTTTATATTCTTATAGATGGATAATGAAACGTTGACTGCAATCGTTGGAGCTGCAACTAGTGGAGTTGTAGTTGCATTGACCATTGTTCAAGAGTGGTTAGACTATATTGATAGGGAATCTTCCGTTAACCAAGACTTGTAACAACAAGATCTACTAGATCTGTTGTATAGGGGGAGACATATTGATTGCTACTATCAATTAAAAATGGGTAAAGAAGCCTTCTACAAGCTTTGCAAAATTTTATGGGAGAACGGACGACTCCACAAAACATTGAGGACTAGTGTAGAAGAACAAGTTGATAGATTCTTGAATACTTTAGCACATAATGTTAGGAATAGGACTATGGGATTTCACTTTAGTAGATCGGGTGAGATAGTTAGTCGCCATTTCAACTTGGTGTTAAATGCGGTTCTCAATTTAGAAGATAAATACCTGGTTCAGCCAAGTGGCACAGACACACCACCTAAGATTAGAAACCAACAAGACTTTTGGCTATATTTTAAGGTCATTGTGGTGTTAATTTGTAAGATATCTAAATTTAGGTGATGAATCATATAATAAATACAAACGGTATGACTTGCTTGGTAGGATTGTTTTAGGACAATTGACAGGACACATATACCTGTAAAAGGTCCACTGTCAAATGTAGCTACATTCCGTGGTCGGAAGTCCTAACCCACACAAAATATTCTTGTTGCATGTTCATTTAACTTGCTTTTCACATATGTTTTACCTTGATGGGAGCGAGTTGCATCAAATTCCCACATGCTAAATAGTGCATTGACAAGGGAACACAAACTACAAGTCCCAAAAGGTACTACTACATATCCATGGGGTCAATTCAAATGCAAATGTGGAAATTGGTATCTAACCACTTTCTTGTATTTTACACAGGTAAATATTACCTGGTAGATACGAGTTTTGCTCTCAAGGTTGGGTTCTTAGCCCCATATCGAAGCACAAGATACCATTTGAAGGAATGGGGTTTGCATCAACCTAAGAACCCCAAAGAGTTGTTTAACCTCCATCATGCCTCACTTCGAAATGCAGTTGAGCAGATTTTTGGGGTCCTTAAGAAACGTTTTCCACTCCTAATTTCCGAGCAACACTACCCATTCAAAACATAAGTCAATATTGTGTCTGCATTGTGCATATTACATAATCATGTAATGGGAGTGGACCCATATGATCAAATCATGTCTCAGTATGATCGTGAGGTAACTGAAGGTGTGGATGTTGATGTAGATGACGGGGCAGAGCCAGATGATGTGTTTGATGACACTCATGTGTCTCATCCATCTCAACGCATTGGCAGAAATGAGTCTGTGAGAGAAGGACACCGTCTTAGAGATAAGATAGCTAACCAAATGTGGGCAGACTACCAAGTGACTCGATCGAGACACCGTCATTAAACATCCTTTTTTTTTTTACCTTCACATGTACTTTGTTTGACTTCATTATGCAGATGTAATCTTGGTTAAAGTGCTACTATCTATGGTTGTTTGCTTGACTTGGGTGTTTTATAAACCTTTGTGGTATTAACTTTAACATGGGTGGTGTTGTTTGATTTCGAATGAAAGACCTTGATTTATATGTATGGTTGAATGTCTCAAATGTTACTATGCTTTGATTGAATTGTCAGATATGTTGATTGTTTGGTGTGAATCAGATATGGGTACTTGAGATATTGTTGAATGTCTCAGATATGTTGATTGTATTAGATGTATAACTTGAGATGTTGATTGTTTGGTGCGAATCAAATATGGATACACGGTCCAGTGAAACTGATGGAAGAATGAGTAAGTCTAACATGAGCTGGACTGCTGAGATAGACAATACACTGATTGACACTCAAGTAGAGCAGGCTACACTTGGCTATAAAGTTGATAAAAGTTTTAAAGCCCCGGCATGCAATGCGGATACAAAGTCGATTAGTGATAAGTTTGGAGTGGAATGCAATCACAATCACATTAGAAATAGAATGAAGACAATAAAGAAGACTTTCACTACCATTTCAAAAATTATCAATTCAAGTGGATTTTCGCGGAATGACTTAGCCAAGACAATTGATGTAGAACCCCGTGTTTGGGCAAAGTATATCTAGGTAAACTTTAATATGGTATGTAAGCTTATTTTTAAAATATGTAAGATAGATACAACCTTATTAGATTGATCTATAATGAATGAACAGGGGCACCCAAAGGCTAAGCAATTTAGGAGGAAGTCCATCCCCAACTATGACTAGTTTGCCATAGTGTGTGGGAATGATCAAGTTACTAGATCTGCAACATTCACTGCTAGAGAAATGAATAGGCATGAGGCAATGCCCATGAATGAAACAAGTATGCCAACGATGCAGGAACCAGTGTTTGATGAGGCTGATGAGGGTGACAATGTTGGTTATTCCAACCTTCAAGCCAAGACACCAGAGGAGGGTAGTTTAGTTGAGAGGAAGGGGTTAGGGAAGAGGAAGTCATACGTAGTTGCAGTTGCTGAGGAGGTCCACGAGACCACAGTAAGCATTAAGACACTAGCATTTGCTATTGAAAAGGGGATTGGGTTGTTGAGGAAGGAAAAGATTTACGATGATGTACTTAGTTTGGGGGATCATAACCCCACCTTTGTCATAAAAGCAATCACTACTTGTCAGAATCTGAAAACCGGGCAATAGCATTTTATGTATTGGCTCCGGGGTTGAGGAAGGCCTGGTTAGACATGAAGTTGGGCTTGAGTGACTAAACTTAAAATTTGCCATAACTAAACATGTATTTTGGAAACATTGTTCAGCTTAAACTTGACATGATTGAGCCTTTTTTTTTTTTAATTTTGAAACACTATTGAACTGAACCTTTGTTTGATGGAGTAATCTTAATGTTTTGGGAGTTGAATCATTGAAAATTTTTGATGATGAAAAACATGATCAATATTTGTTTATCTTAAAACGCTTGATTTGAACTGGTGTTGAATTGTGTGGCTAGCAGGTTAAAATCTAATTTTATGGGATCCAATAGCTCTTGTGCATGGATGAGAGAATGATTAATTGGATGGCTGAATTTAAACAGGTTTCCTTGATCTATTATGATATGTTATGTAGACAGGTTGGCAGGTGTTCATCTATTAGATCTTGAATGAATGATTTATAGGTTATAATTCGTTCTAAGAATGAATTTCTTGCATGAATGAATAGGTTTTGAATAGGTGAATAGGTGTTTAGTTTGCTTATTAACTAGTTAAATCCAAGTGCATTGACAAGCTTTAAATGGTTTTGAACAAGTTTTAATACTGATGAATGTGTTAAGTGGTTTCTTACACTAAATGGATTTAAACAGGTATTAATGGCCAAATATTATGTTGTCTTCAAAGGTTGTTGCCCTGGAGTGTACTTTAAATGGGCAGAGTGCACCGCACAGGTACACCGATTTAGCAAAGCAATTTATTGCTCATACACTACATATGAAGAAGCTATACACCAATTCTGTATGTATCAAAGCAAAGTTTCCACACCAAATAGTCTACATCAACTTAAATCCAAGGAAGGATGCTCTTCCACACAAGATAATGCTTCAAACAACAAATCAATGGAAAAAACTAGGCTAGAATGGTTCATTATTAGTTTTCTTGCGATCAGCTTAGTAGCTATGATTATCTTATATTATATGAAATGAGAACCAATATGTAATGCAAGCAAGTATTGTACACAATATGGAACATGATAGTTATCATTTTGTCAAATGTGATTGCAATATCTTATATGCACCTCATTGTTGTCACATGGCAAATTTAATCGACCATGCAATGTTATTGAAGAAGGTGAGAAAGGATGACAAACTTGGTTTAATGTGTTTCCTGCTAAATTTCTTAGAAAGCAAACACAGGAAAATGAATTTCGATCATAATGTTTCTTGGGAAACAAACACCAGATGCAACAATGGGAAAAAAATATATTCCTTTCTTGGCAACCAAATAGACCATAAGGGTCAATTTATGTGGACCCATAGACTTAAAAAAAAGCAGTTTATAAACAGTAATAATAAATGTTAAAAGAAATATATATATATATATACGGTCATTTCCAAAAGAATCCGTTAAACCATGGTTTACACTTTACATTAACACGTCTTATGATAACATACCTTATTATGGTCCTTCAAGACTTGGATTTAATTTTATTATATATTTTTTCGGATGTTTTCCTTACCTATCCATGCAAATCTTAGGCCCCGTTTGGTTTGCAAGAATGGGGGCCTAGAATCAGAATTAAAATGGGTTATTCTGATTCCAACTGTTTGGTTGGACAGAATTGGAATTCCATCTCATTCCTGCTGGAATGGCATTCCCCCATTTAAGGGAATGGTCATTCCCTGCCCCTGCCTTGGGAATGAAATATGATTCCTATTGATTCTGATTTCCATTCTAATTCCTGTCTGAACCAAACAGACTATAGGAATAGACCATTCAGATTCCAATTCCGATTCTAATTACGACTGCAAACCAAACAGACTAAACACACATCTTAAATTTGCCTTTTCAGATAATCTTGCCTGCCACATCCTTAAATTAACAAATTTGTTTATATAACCAACATTAATTGGAAAAGAAAAGATTATCACACAAAGTTGGGCTCTCCAGATTGCGAAGGAGCGCGTGCAATTTTAGTGCATTTTATTTTTTGCTAATAATTGGCAACATTAAAACCATGGAAAAAAGTTCAAGTTAAAATTATATAAATACAGTATAGTAGTAAGTTGATTGCCCTCGTGCTGTGCATCCTTTCCAACATCCTCAGATCTGCAATTATGTGGATGTGCTCTTTCAAGCTCTCCATACAAGTGGATGGACCTACGTCTCCAAATCCAAAACTAGAGACGGTCTCAGTTTATCTGCCAGGATCAGTCACTAGAGCCTCAGAACTCAGAAGAGTCAGGTAAGCTGGGATTCCATCTACACGTGCTTAATCCTTCAAGTAAACAGGAAGAGGAATGCAGACTCACAAGGCTGACAGCTCAACTTCCTGAGTGCATGGACGATATGCTATGAAAGTACTATCATTGGAGAAAGAACCAGGGTTGAAGCATGTAATTCCTGTATATTTGAATGCTTTCTGCTCACTTCTGTCACCTAATACAATCTGCACAAAAAATCTAGCAATAAATCTTGAAGTTCAAACATATATATTAAGACCTGTTCATGGACCATGCTCAACCTTAGCTTTTGCCAAAATTTGAACTGACTAGCCCAAAACAGTGTAAAACCGAGCCCAAATCCTGGCTTGTGTGTGTTGATAAATAGAAGAAAACAAGGCTGCACAAAATGGGTACTAGCCCTTCCCCAAAAATCACAAAAGCAAATACAACTGAAAATCAATTCAACCTCTCATAATCAACACTACTACCCCTATGCCCTGCATTGGAGAGCCAGTCAGAAGCAGCAGCATAGGATTCTCTAAAAAGGCGAGAAAAGCAAATATTTAGCCCATCTCTATAACTAATAACACAGCCTCCTGAGCACAAGGTGTAAGTGAGTGTTGTACAGAATTTTTTATATGTTTTCATTCTCTGTATTATGTTACATGATAAAATGGTTACCCCGCTTTTACAAATAGCATTTTAATTATAAAAAATGGCTTAAATACAAAAGCATAAGAGATGTAAGTAACTTGTATAAAGCACAATAGACCATATGCCCCATAAGCCTCTAGGAAGCAGCCAGGAAGCAATCACCACTATGCTGGAGGTGTATGCCTCAAGGGTCTGCATTCTTCTAGGCTGTGCCTCCAGGCATTTTCTTAGCACCTCGCCTAGATACATGCCTCCAGCACTTTTTAAAACACTGATAACATCTTCAAATCTGGATATAAAACTCAGGTCTTAGCCAAGTCAAGCAAACTTGTCCCAGATCATGTTGAGAAAATATGGATGGCACCAAGGAGGGACAAGATGAATACAATGCTGCAACTCCAAATAAGAGTAAGTCATTGATGAAAGATAAAATCTTAAGTTTAATTCTCTACTTCAAAACATTTAATCGGGTAAGATATGCTGCCTCAGGTTTTCCAGCATCACCTTTAGAATCAACAAGGAGTGAGAAGACTCATTTTCCTGTTGATACAATTTCATTAAATTTTAAACTTTTCTATAAGGTTGCAATTGAATTGAGCTCTAATCGAATAGTTCGGGCTCAAATTTGATTAGGCAAGATTCAAGTTTGATTCTAATCAAGCTCAAATCGAGTTCAAACCTAGGGGTAAGCTTGAACTCATCCAATAAAAGGTTTGGCACGAAAGCTCGTGAGCGTGGCTCGATTAGCATACATACATACATACATAAGAATATACTGTATATTCTATATAAAAATATATTTTTATATTCTATATAATATAAAAATATACTGTACATTATAAAAAAATATCATATATATAAAATATACAAATATATTTATTTTTGAGCTTTCAAGCCGAACTCGGGCTCATTGAATACTTAACCAAGCTCAAGCCGGAAAATATAGTTCGAATCGAATTCAAGCTCAAAACTCCAACCTAGTAGTATTTTAGTCAAGCTGAGCCGAGACATGCCAAAGTTCAGTTCAACTTGATTGCACCCCTACTTTTCTATATCTACAGAAAATTGGGTTGCTTAGTAGTTAATGTTTGTCTGCGTCAGGGGTTGCAAAGGTGAACAGCTTACAAACATTGCTTAAAATGAGGAACAATTAGCATCACAGTGATTTGATGATGACATATGGGCTTCCAATTAGTTAGGTGCTTGGGTTATTATTTGTTTCTTTATTACACCTTTCATTCTTATTGAGATATTGGGCCTTCATTTTTAATTTGTTATTGCTGCCACCCTATCAGGTGTATCTATGTCATATTTCCTTGTATTTTAACAGTAAATATATAAGATGGTGAGTCAGCATAGAGGCTTCCATGATTCTTTCTCCTCTTCCTCTCTTCTCTTCTCTTTTCTGTTCTATATTTACTATTTATTCCCTGGTTATTGCTGCTTTTAAATCAGATTATTGAAGTTTGTTGCTGGTTTGTTTGACAAATGCATAGTTTCCAAGGTGCCAAGGCGAGTCTAGGTAACAGGGGGGCACCTTGTCACCTAATTACCTAAGTGATGGATTTTTTCAAGTGAAAAACATATATCCTATGGTAGTTCCCTAGGTTCCATAACCATATATCCTTAGTAACTATCTATAATTTTCATAAGAAAAGTATAAACTTCATGTTAATGTATTAAAAAAAAACATATTCACGAGAAGAAAAGAAAATTCAAAAAATATAGGGGCTGAACCCTTATTTTTTATAGGAAAAGAAGAAAAGAAAAGGAGGAAGAAGATGTAGACCAAATTTTAAGATAATCCTTACTGGTTCAGGCTTTGAAGTCTTTGAGTGTGTGTGTGTGTGGTTACACAAGTAATTACACCCCCAGAATAAAGTTGGTAAGTTATCCAATCAGTGTGATACATAGATGGGCTTTTGCACCAGTTTCTATGGTGTAAAGGTCCTTGAAGTTTTCTAATTCATTAAACTAAGATCTTCAAAATGCTTTGAAATATCAAGCAGAAAAAGAATGCCAAAGTTATCTTAAGATTCTTTCAGACTAAATAGGAGACAGTTCAGATTGTTCCAACCATATGGTCAAGTTAGTATTTGACCTATAACATATCCTACCTATGACCATCATATACAGTGAGCTTGCATGCTCATATAGTGAGCTTTCAATAATTCCACTTCTCAAGAAAACACAACTTGCCTAATTTGAGAAGCCAAATGGTCAACAGTGTGCTTACTGTCAGGCAATTGGCCCAGACTATGCCAAGGCATCCAGGTGATTCTAGGAGACGGTGAGAACCTAGACATTTATAGGCAATAAATTAGTTTCCTAATTTTACATGCCATCCAGCATGCATATAAATTGAAAAAATAGAAATGCTCTTCACAATAACATTAATTTTCCTCTCAAAATATGGTAACCCATTATTTGTAAATAAAATAGCATTTTAAATCAATTAACTTTAATTTTTCAAACACAACAAAACAGTATTTAATAGAGAAATTTGTCATATGATATATGACATAATGTATTAGTGCACATAGTGATAATGTTACAATAAGGCATCCACTTTATTATTTTTGTTACCTAGGCAAGTTGCTAGTTGCCTAGACAGGGGCCTTTTTTATATAAGCCATGATGACATTCAATCAAGGTACCCAAGCAAGGGTTGCTTGTTACCTAGGAAATGCCTAAACAGAAACCTATGCAACACCTTGACAACTATGTTTCAAACAATTCTAAACATAACAAATGATATGTGGGTGTAGAAGTTACCGTATGTGGAGTAGGATACAAGCGGAGGCAGTGGTCATAGTTCCAAATAATGGGTTGCACAGTTAGGGGAAGGGGACAGAGATGACTTTGATGAGTAATGGTAGCAACAAGCTGCAAATGAATTCAAAAGGCTCATTAGCTAAAAACCATCTTCTAAAATCCATAAAACCAATTTTCAGGAAAAGAATAATAAAAGCTGACATCAGAAAGTTAATTCTTACATGCTCGAAAGGATCACTGGTTTCTTCTGTTGAGGGTGGAATCAAACAGGCACGCCGCATTCTATAAAGCAAATCTTGGCGGAAAAATACAATTTCTTGGGTATAAAACTTGATTCTGATTTACAACATGAAAATTTGAAACCATGTTATATTATATACAGCATTGTTGTCAGCAATATGTATGTTAAAATAATTTAGTTGTTGGTGTTAGGGTCTGTTTGGCTAGTTAAAGTGTTTTTTTATTTCGTTTTTTACTTCTGTTATGTCTGTTATTGTACTCAGGGGCACAAGGGTCTTTTCCCTTGTTATTTCTGTCGCCCTATATATATTATAATAAAGGCTGGCGCTGCCAGCACTGTTACATTGCAAATTCCTTCTCTTCTCCCTTCTCTCTTCTCTCCTCTCTTCTCTCTTCTCTCTTCTCTCTTCTCTCTTCTTCTTCTCTTCTCTTCTCTTCCTCTTATTTCTGGCCGGCTATACTGTCAAGATGGTATCAGAGCCGGAATACTGACTAAAGAGAGCAAATCGAACAACCTTTACTGAGAGAACAGATCGAACAGACTTGCTGAACCAGGGCGGAACAGAGATCTGAATCTGGACTGAGGAAAACAGCTCTACAACTGGTACAGTTCTTCCGTTTTCTCTTCTTTACCCTCCTTGGTCATGTACCAAGTGAAAACCAAATGAATCTGGGCTGCTGAATGCTGTCGGATCTGTATACCTCTATTTTTTTTGGATCGTGTGATCCTGTTCATGTGTTAAGACGACTGTAGGTCAAGGATGACCTGTCATCTCAATAATTTGACTTGATTATAAGTGATAAGGATCTCTCCTGCTGATTAATGGCTTTAGACA